CTGCAATTAATGCCTTACATAAAATTAGGGTTCCACCCCCTTCCCCCAAATATTCAATCGAATCAAATCTTATCTATTCTAGAATTTCTCCATCTTAAACAAGGTTAAATGTGGGTGCTGCACAATTCTTTTTCATTTAAGATTCATGGACGATCCATAAAAATGAAACAAACAAAACTTATTTTTTTTGTGAGTTTTTCTCTCAATACCGTTCAATCGAGGCGTAAAGCACCGAGTAGATTGACAATAAGATATAAATCATGTCAAAGATCATTAGAGGTGATCCTCCTTGCTTTGAAGGTGTTGCAACTAGCAATCATAAGAGTATATAGAAAGGAAGCAAAGGAAGGGAGTGTCCAAAACTTGTAAAATTGGACTGAGTCTAATGGGCTTTTTGGGTCTAACCAAAATAAATTAAATAAAGTTGGTCTAGTTCCATCTTGATCATCGCTATTAACAATGAGAGACAAGTGCGTGGAGTGTTATGAAAAAAAAAGAGAAATTCTTACAACTCCTATATCTGTTGACTTAAATAAGGATGAGATCAACTACGAGTACCAATTTTTTTTTTTTTTTTTTTTTATATTATTATACAACTAGTTATAAGTTTATAACACGTATTATAAACATGTAAATCTAATATATAATTGTAGAGTCATTTTTGCAACACTTAACCACATCACTCCAAAACCCCAATCTTACAATTTGGTGCAATCTTCTTCTTCTTCTTTTTTTTTTTTTTTTTTTTTTTTTTTTTTTTTTTTTTTTTAATTTTTTTGTGAAAAATAACTACCCTATCTTTTTTTTTCTTTTTTTTTTTGTCAATAACTTCCACTTCTCTAAATTTTAGAAAAAAAAAAAACACTTTCACTTTTACTATTTTACAGTACAATATATATCTCCATATATTATTGCACATTTTTTAAAAAACATTCAACTACAAGCATATTTATTATGTTTTTTCATCTTATAAAAAAGTTAATATATAAACTACCCACTTTACTTTTTAATTTCTGAGGAAACTACCCACTTTACTATATTTATTATGTTTTTTCATCTTATAAAAAAGTTAATTTATAAACTACCCACTTTACTTTTTAATTTTTGGGGGAAATACCCACTTTACTTAGTATTACAAATATACACACTAATTTTTTATAACACAATATTGGAAGGAATTTATATTGTAATTGCATGTTCATTTTTTAATTTTGTATTATCCCAACTCTTGAAAACCTCAATCTTAAAATTATATGCATTTTTATTTATTTTTGAAAATAATATAGCCCCCCATAAGTTCACTAACTTTTAGCTGACCACTTTATGTAATTATTCGGTTAGTGTTATAATGGTTAACCCGTTACAGATATAGAGCTTACTTAGTTAATAATATAGTGTTTATGCTGTCAGTTTTTTAGGGGTTACTTTGTTATTTCAGGGTTACTCAAAAGCAAGTCCGTTTATGAGATTTAGGTGGCCTAGGGGCGGATTAAAAAATGGGGTCCTAATTGACTAACGATTGACTTTATTAACGGAAAAAATAAGGTATACAAAAATAAAAAATATTACGAAATACTTTATTTAATTCTATGAAATTTTATTAAGGACTAATAGTAGAGCCAAAAAAATCCAAAAGTCATCAAATATTTAAACTTCAGTCCCCGCATTCTCGATTGCACTATTTATTCAACAATGTAGAATGAACAAGACCTACAAGGCTACAACATCATAAATTTTAATAGCACAAATTAAAAATAAAAAAATTATTAAAAATTCATGAAGAGCATTAAGCAACAACTAATGTACAATTTGATGATTCATGATCATTTATCATAATAAAAACAAAATTAGGATTAATTGACAAAATATTAGTTTGACATATTGATGATTCATAAATCAAATTCAGTATTATAATTTGAATAAATTAATATTGCAGAAATTTCTTATGTAAAATTGAATAATTCATATATTAAATTACTTTAAATTTCTGGAAAAAAAAAAATTAAAGAACTAACCAATGACTTTACTACTTTAGGATAATGGCAGACTCGTTTCTGAGTTCATCTTCGAAGTACGAAGTCAAAACCCATAAAAAAGGTGAAAAAAATAATGGAAATAAATACAAAAAAGTGATTAATGAAATTGATATGTGAAAAACAATTGAAATACTAGTAATACGGAGTATAATTTGTAGGAAAAATTGTTGATTATAATCTAGTTAAAAACTAATTGCAAAAAAAAAAAAAAAAACGTTAATGGAGGAAATCATCTCTAGAGGATTGATTTGGGAAGGAAAAATCAGAAAATCAAAGATAAAGATAGAAATAAATTGATTTCAAAGATGGGGAATAAAGAATATACGAATGAATATGGTTACATTAAGAGAATTAATTTGGGAAACTTAAATTTCCCCAAAATGGAGCTATTTCTTAGGAAGAATATTAATGTGGGTGGATTATTAAGGGTATAAATTCATTAACTGACAATAAGAGTATTTAATTTTTTTTATTGAATTAATACAATACTGTAAATATCCGTATTTGGATTTCGGATTTTGGGGCCCTAGGCGGGTGCCCCGGTTGCCCCGGGCCAGATACGGCCCTGCTCAAAAGTATAATAAGGGTTTACCATTTCAATATAATACAAGTTACTCCATTTTTCTACCAGTAACCCTACGGTGTTGCTGTGCACACAAAACACACTAACATAAGTTCCACAATTTTTCTTTTAAAAAAAAATTTGTACATTGTATTTGGAAATTTTTTAAATTACCACCTGAAAATGTAACCATGTTCGAAATAACCACGCGTTTAATTTTTTATTTTAAATTACCACCCCTTAAATTAAATAAAGTCTCATATTACCACCCATTTCAAAAATCCGGTGGATTTTCCGTCTGTGTGCCCCACTTAACGCTTATTTTGACCTTTTTGACTAATTTTTTCCCCGATTTTTCTCTTTAAAAACGTTCTTCTAACTTCAATTCACATTTTTCTCTTTAAAATTTGGTAGAATTTGGTGAAGGCAATGTGAATTATAGTATAGAGAGCGTTTTTAAAGAGAAAAATCGGGGGAAAAATCAGTCAAAAGGGTCAAAATAAGTGTTAGGTTGGGCCTACAGACGGAAAATCCACCGGATTTTTGAAATAGGTGGTAATCTGAGCATTTATTTAATTTAAGGAGTGGTAATTTAAAATAAAAAATTAAACGGGTGGTTAGTTCAAAAATGGTTACATTTGAGGGTGGTAATTTAAAAATTCACCGTTTTTATTTTAATATCTTATTATGTGATATATATCCCGTGCATTTTGCACGGGTACACTCTAGTGATGTAAAAAGGAAAGATGAAATTTATCCTATTGTTACTTGTTCCATGGTGTGCATATATGTTACTTGTTCCATGGTGTGCATATATGTTACTTGTTCCTCTCAATTATCTCTCTCTTTTCTTTTGAAGTTAGATTAGAAGTATGTCAAAGGACTAATTTTTTACTTTTTAGGGAAATTCTCACCGGTAACACCTAACTTTTGTTTTTTTTCAACGGTAGAATGCAAAATTTTTTATTATCATTGGTAATCACCAATTAGTAATACTAATTTACTGGTAACATTAATGAAATATTTACCTAATTATTGACTAACCATGGATTAATAATAACACAATTACAAACCTACCCTTCGAAAAAATCACTTCCCTCCAAAGTTATATGCTATTTTCCCTCCTTAATCAATTACCCCTTTATATAAACCTTAAACAACCCAATTCTATTAGTACTCCTTGTTCTTCTTCTTCTCAATTTCTCTTAATACTACCATGGCTAAACAAAATGCTCCAGCGAAAGGTTCTTGAGACAGGAGGTCAGCTATAGGGATTGAGTTGAGTCACCGTGATCTGCGACAATACTCAATTATTTTCCAGTTAGATTAACAACAGAATTTGCAAGCTGACTTGCAATTAGTATACTAGATGAAGCCCTGAAGTTATTTGATTAGACATAAGTGGTTAAGAGAAATAAATAGGGGCAATTGAGTCATTTCGTAGCTAATTTTCCAATTAACATAGTAACTATGGTTAAGGACTTAGGTAAAAGTTTCATTAATGTTACTAGTAAATTAGTATTATTGATTGGTGATTACCAATGATAATCCAAAATATTATATTCTACCATTGAGAAAAAACGGAAGTTGGGTGTTACCAGTGAGAATTTCCCTACTTTTTATTTTAATTAAAAAATGCTAACATTTCATGATGATTGGTCCTTATTACCCTTACTAAAACTCCCTATCTGCTCTCTGGGAAATTCACTAATCCTCTATTTTCTAATTTTCTTCCATCTTCTTTCCCTCTCATCAACCAACAACTACCACTTCTCTCTCACCACCACTACAACCACCACCGGAAGTGGTCATCGTAGACGGGCCCGGCAAACAAGGAGGTAAGCTTTTTAGTTTTTTTTTAAATAATTTTTCTCGGCCAACATTACTAGAGGCCAAATGACTATTGCCGGTGATCAAGGTCAATTACCGACTAACGATGGCCGTAGTAATGGTGGTCGTTGCTTTAGCTGTTCACGTGGTTGTGATATGATGCAGAACATAGAAAATGTAAGTGGTTGGGTCAAGTGGAAGAAAGGAAGCTAGTAAGGGTAAATTAGAACTTTCACTGTAAAATGTCGACGTTTTGATTAATTTTGTTGACGGTATTTAGCGTTAATTAAACTCAAATGGAAAGCAATTAAAATTGTGGTTTGTACTTTGTATTTCGGTTAGATCAGATCAGAGTAAAGTATATTATTGGGGTCCAAACTTTGCCAAAATGTAAGTTTAGGGGACTGAAGTTACAGAAGTTTGATTTAGGGGACTCAAACCTGTTGTGCAAGTTATCACCAGTTTACTTACCCTCAATTACCAGTTATTCCAAATTTTCAATTTAAAAAAAAAAATAAAATTGTCTTAATTTTTTCTTTTAAGAGATAAGATTGTCTTAATTGTTTGAGTTAGCCTAACCTTTTTCACTCTCTTCTCCCTCATCCTCCTTATTCCATATTACAACCGCCATCTTAACCCTTTTTCACTCTCGTCGCCTCTTACGTCGCGCCACCGCTCGTAACCCCGCCCCGTTCAACCTCACCCTTTCGGCCTTTCTCATTATTGTTACTTTCTCTACTCCTTTTTTTCAATTCATTACCACCAATAAAGCTCTAAATTGTGACTACCTCGTAATGCGGACCCATTATTTGGTAGGTTTTGACTTCAGGTGGGGCTGCGGTGGTTGTGGCGGCGGCGGTAATTGCTCAGCCGTTACGGGATTCATCCCCGAATTAAATTCCCCTTCTCTCTCACCTTTGTGATTCCCACTATTGCATTTTCAGAGAAAATCAAAGAAAACCATATTTGAAGTTTTGTAAGGTAAGTTTGGGTCTGGATTTTAGGATTTGTGGGTCGTTTGGGGATTGGGTGGTGGTGGTTTGTGGTGTTGACAGGGTTTGATGGGTGTATGGTGGTATGGGTAATAGCTCATGGTGGTTGTGGGCAAATGAATTACTTTTGTTTATCAACAATTTTTATGTTTCCCAATGAAATGAACTTTCAGTGATTTAGATTATTTTAGAGGAAAAAAAGAAAAATAAAATTCTAATTAGCTTTGTAACCGGTTACTGAAGGTCAGCTTGGCCAAAATAGTAGCCTTAGTCCCCTCTTTCAAACATTTGAAAGGTGAGTTCCCTAAACTTACATTTTGGCATAGTTTGGACCCTTGTATTGAGCTTTACTCGATCAATAAAGGTGGGGCAGAGGCAAAGGTAGTACTTTGGTGAGAATACACCACATACTTTTACAGTTGGAAAAAAAGAAGAGGTAAAAATATAAAAATAATAATAAAATAGTGTTCTGTTAATATTGAGATCCAAATCTGAATTTCATGATATTTTAAATTCATTGTATTTCATTAATTATAACAAAAGGCAGCCTAAACTCACCGACATGTTCTAGTCACCCTCACTCTTCCCTATTACTCACTTGTTTCATTGTTTGTTCGTGTCGTGTTATAAATTAGTGATTGACCCTGGCGATATCTCGAGTTATTGCATAAATTAGCGGTACCCGGGTTGTTATATCACTTGTTTGTGTCCTACACTTTTATGTAGTGGAGGTCGATTACTGTTTGATAAGTAATTGCAATATTAATTTTCCAACTTCTATTTGTGATTTGAAATATAAAGTTCACCTCCATTGTTATTGTTCTGAAGAGAGATGACGGAAATAGCAGCAGCAGAAACGACGACAGTAGCAACAATGGCGGATAGTAATGGCGTCAATGCCATGGCTGCATCACCTCCGCAAGCTCTGCTAGAAAGGCTTAAGGATTACGGTCAAGAAGATACTTTCGCTTTCTGGAATGAGCTTTCTTCTGATGAACGCGAGCATCTTATCAAAGATATTGAGGTTTTTTTATTAATTAATTTTTATGTACTGTGTTGTGCAATTATTTGATCATGCATCTAATAAAATATGTGTTGTTGATTATATTGAAATTTTTTGATGAAATTTGTTCAGAGTTTAGATCTTCCGAGGATTGATCGGATTATTCGATGTTCGTTTCGTTCTCAAGGTTTGTGGATTTGTTTGTTTGATTAGTTATGAATTAGATTAGAAAATTGGAGTTTGAATACATATATAGTTCTAATTTCAAAATTGATGCAAAATTTTGGATTAAAAGGATTGCCGGCTGCGGCGATTGAGCCGGTGTCGGAGGACATTGTGTCAACGGTGGAGCATCGGACGATCGAGGATAGAGAAAAGTGGTGGAAGATGGGATTGAAGGCCATACATGCCGGCAAGTTGGCTGTCATCCTTTTGTCCGGTGGTCAGGTAATTTTTTTTTTTTTTTTTTTTCAATATGAATATTATTTACTTGTATTTATTTTCTTGTCGATTATGATTATTTGTTGGTGTTGTTGCTGTAATTGTCAATGAGCAATCGAAATCAGATACCAAATTATTGGTGGTGTTATTTCATAGTTTATGTTATTTGTTGATTAAGCTATAAAAGTAATGTTAATGAGTGATAGAAATCGGATACCAAATTATTGTTGTAGGATTACTTTCTGATTGTTTGTTGTTGTCATCATTTAGGATTATATATTTAAATTTTTTTAAAGTATATTTAGTGAACAATAAAAATCAGATCACTAATATAAAACTGTAGGTTCACTTTTTGAGTGTAATCATGCTTATGCTTTACATTGTCTTTCTTTGTGTTATCTGCAAGTTGCCTTTTATAAGCGCAAATGCAATCATGATAATCTGTTTATAAAATTATGTATGTTTATCTGAGCATCTTTTATGTTTGACCTTTTTAATTAATCTACAATACTCAGTATTAAAAGGCATTTTGTACTCGGTATAATATTAATTTCTAAACAGGGTATGTAAATAATGCCCCGCCCTACATTATTTCAAATGCTGAGGATTTTATACTGAAGGACCTCTATGCCATATTTTAACTGATTGTATGTCATAGTTGAGAAAACTATACTAGTATGGAAGCTTAAAGGATACCATTATCTTCAAAGACGGAGCATAATCTTCTGCACAAAAGGAAGAACCAAGAGGAAATGGGAGAGAGAGAGGAGAATTGTAGGAGTGGAAGAACTACGAAGGGGGTGGATACAGGATGGCTAATTACATTTGTATAGAGAATTAGTTTCAGCTTAATATAATATGGAAATTAAAAATGCCTTTGCTTATTAAACTAAAGAGTTCAATTGGAGGACAGTTGATATTAATTAGGATTCTTGTCATAAGTTAAACTTTAGAAATTTGGGGGAGGGTGAAAGAAGAATTTTATTTTAAAAAGGGAATGGAAGTTTAAGGAGAACACAGAGTAATATCTGTGCAATGGTGACTTTTGTTATGTGTTTGTCAAGGTAAAATGATGGGTCTTCACGTTATGCTGTCTCCATTATTCTCGAAGTGCATATTCACTTAATTTTGTTGTCTGTATGATTTGTTTTAATTTGACACTTGCTAAGATCCGAATATACTAATGTCTCAAATGCCGATACAGGGAACTCGGCTTGGAAGCTCAGATCCTAAGGGTTGCTTTAGTAAGTGACAGCACTATTTTTATCCACTTGCTGTATATTAAATTTCTCATATAGGGCAGAACTTTTTACTTAATGTCATGAAATCTTCTTGCACCTATATTTTTGTTATTCATTTGCCTTATTCCTAGATAATCTGAATCAATTATGAACCACAAACTACAGTCACACTCTGTCACTTGCTTATCATGATGTGCATCGGTCTATAGCATGAGATAAGTAAATGCTATCCTGTCTGTGGCTGCCATGTGAATTTTTACATAATTAGCATACTACTGAATTTGATCTTAAAAGATTATAGTCCATGTGGTAAGGGACATTAGCCTTTCTTGTCTAGTGATGAGTGACAAGTTCTTTTTCACGCCTTTTGCTATGTTGAAGTTTATAACTTAAGATTGTTTGATTTTTTCTCTCTCTCTCTCTCTCTCTCTCTCTCTAGCCTTGAATAAGACTTCTATTGCTCTAATTTCATCCATTTGCCTTCTGTGTCACATCTTATAAACCCCTATAGCATACTATTTTTCTTTAAAATTCTAATTTATTTACTGTGTTCCTTATATCTGCAAGTATGCTTATGTAGTGTGGATTTCATCATAATTTGTGTCAGATATTGGCCTTCCTTCCAGAAAGTCACTTTTCCAACTTCAGGCAGAGCGAATTCTGTGTGTTCAAAGATTAGCAGCTCAATTTATGAATGAGGGTAAGATATTTTGAGTTGAAAATGCCATTTCAGTTTTTTTGTTTTTATAATGGTATTCTAATTGCTTTTCAATTTGCACCCTTCAGGATCAGCAGATGTTGTACCAATCCACTGGTACATAATGACTAGCCCCTTCACGGACGAAGCAACACGCAAATTCTTTGAAAGCCATAAATTTTTTGGTCTTGAAGCTGATCAAGTATGAGTTTAACATCTTGCTTCTCCACTTTTCTTTGACTAGCTTCACTATACAATTGGTAGTTTAAAATGTAGTTTTTATTTTATTTTATTTATTTTTAAACTTATATGAGACGCATCTTCGATGTAGGTGACGTTCTTCCAGCAGGGAACAATACCTTGTATCTCAATGGATGGAAGATTCATCATGGAGACTCCATATAAAGTGCGTTCACTTCTTTTTCTTCATGCCTTCAAATTTTGATAACTATTGTCATATTTTGTATGTTTTAGTGTCAATTGTGAAGTTTGTATGTCTTTATATCTGACCCAAGTAACTTCATAATGATTTCACAGTATGTTTATTTTTTGTGGGTAAAAAAATTGAAATTTGGTTTAATTCTCTAACTCACAGGAATAGAGAGTGTTTTATATAGGAATCTGGACTGAGATTATGAGGATATTATGAATCGAATCTCAGGACAAGTACTAAGTTCAATAATTAGCTCAACATGAGGGTCGTCGGACTAGAAAGAGTTTTTTTTTTTTTTTTTTTTTTTTTTTTTTTTTTTTTTTTTTTGAAAAGTTTAAAAACTTCCTTCATTTCACAAAGTTCTTCTCATGGACTAATTAATTTAAATGTGGTCAAATTCAAATTTTGACTATCTTTGGTTATAAATATTTCCTTCATTTTCTTTTATTTGCTACATATTCCTTTTTTGGAAGTTGTAAAATAATAGCAGCATTCTTTTATTTGGTCAATGGTTCTTGCTATCTCTTAATTCATCACATGAATTATGTTGGACGTTAATTCTGGCTATATTTGGTCAAACCAAATCAGCACTCACTCTCCAGCTTCTTGCTGCAGTTGAAAATCTGTAACTCTTAGGAATGTAGTGGGCTCTGTCCAACCATAACAAATTTGTTCCACTGTGTAGCTTTCATGAAGACCAACTCATCTATGCAAGTTTGCATAGGCATTTGAAACCTGGAGTGTGCCTCAACTCTAGTTTATTTCAGAAGCCTTTCTTCCTCTTATGCAAATCATGCTTTATCCCATGTCATATAGCCCAATGAGGTCATGATTCGTAAACCCAATAACTCAAGTAGTCCAAATGGGGCAAATGACTAGAAGAGTACCCTTGCCCTTCAACTTATGCACATTAAAGCAGAGCTTTCAATTCTTATGACCAACAATAGGAGAGGGATTTACCTTCATCGCTACACCCACATCAAATGCTACTATGGCTGCTATATAGAAACCTATGACTATGAGTGTTTAGATGCTGCCAAATGCTCTTGCTTTCTATGCATGTGGTTGACATTTAGACTTGTTAATTAAATATATTTCTTAAATTAATGGCTCAAGTGTCTAAACTCAGATGGCAAAGGCTCCTGATGGGAATGGAGGAGTTTATACAGGTAAGGCATTTTTCACATATCTACACTTTTTCTGATTCAATGAATTCCGTGTATCATAATTTCAATACCCATATCATGTCCGAAGTGTCTGATTACTTTTGCTATATGAACCAGCTCTAAAGTCTTCGAGACTGTTAGAAGATATGGCTGCACGAGGAGTCAAATATGTAGATTGTTATGGTGTAGACAATGCACTCGTAAGCTCTCCTAATTACTCTTTTTTCTTCTCCTTTCTTGTTGATATATGTGTTAGTTATCTTATTTGCTATTATATTGAATTGCTGATAGGTTCGCGTTGCTGATCCCACTTTCTTGGGTTATTTCATTGATAAAAATGTTTCAGCTGCTGCCAAAGTTGTAAAGAAGGTAATTTGAATTCATATCATCGAGGTTTATAATTTGCTAGTCTATATATATATATATATATATATATATATATATATATATATATATATATATATATATATATTTATATTTATTTATTTATTTATTTATTTATTTATTTTTTGTCTTATCTGTCTTCTTTAATGTTTCATGTCATGTCTTGTATATTGACAGTCTGATCTTATGTTTTAATATCCCATTAAAAGTTGTGTAACCTCATACAACCATCTTCACCTCCACGCAAAACTGCATAACACAGGAACAAATATTCATGAGAAAATTTTCCATTGAGCTTTGGCAGAGCCTAAAGATATACCCCCCCCCCAAAAAAAAAAAAAAAGGACTGCAGTAAATACAGACGTAATCTAGCTAGATTATGTACCTTTTTCCATCAGGAATTCAGGATCGAACGCCAAGGCATTTATAGGCCCAAAATGCTCCTTAACACCTCCAATTTCTTCTGTAAGAATATAAAATTAATATAACATAATTGATTACATTCTTGAATTCAGCAAGTCACTGAGAATATTGGCTTTTACTTTGCAACCATAAAAGTAATGGCTTAATTTACTAGGCAAGAAAACCTGTAATATAGAGGACTTACGTGTTTTAAGTTTTTGGTTTTCAAAGCAATGTTACATATTTGCTGCAAATCTACTGAAAGGTGTCGAGTACAAATTCAAATGAAATATGATGTGCAAAGCTAAAGCTTATAAGATTCTCATATAGTATGTAAACTATAGCTAATTATTACTACAGACATGAACATGGGGGAGATTGCTCTTCTTTGACCAGTTATTCATTAAAATGTAAAAATTGACTTGAAAATGCAGAACATCTGCACGAACAGACATTTTATACGATTACTATTTGTGGACCAAGTGTATTTCAAATTATCAGTAGGCTGATATGTCTTTCAGTCCCTTTTTTACCCATTCATAGTGATAGTAAAAGCAGTTCAAAGTATCAGTAAGCTGTTCAGTCTTTCAGTCCCATTTTTACCCATTCATACTATTACAAAAACAATCATTCATTCACATATTATTATTTGTAATTTACCTTCATAGACTTTTGCCTCAAACTTTCCTGCACGATGATCTGTTTTCGTCATAGCTATTGCTTCATGGTCACCTCCAAGCACAACCTATAGGGGGGAAAAACACTATATAAGCAATGTCTAATGCTGTAGGTGCCCAACAGTAGCATTATATATGAGAATATTACTGAATATATGAACAGTGACTCACCGAGAAAGTGATCTGGATTTTCATGGAGAAGTCATAAACCCTCGTCGAACATGTTTCTTCTAATCTCTACTGGTAATGTTTGATGCGTCCACATTTCTTTTCAAAACGGTCGTACTGGCTGAATTTGCGTTTCTTTTCTAGATACATATATGTTACATACTTCGTATTGTTCCTTTATTGTGGGATTTTAAAAAAGCAGCGTGCTGAACCAGTAAATATCAGAATGGTAACATGGAAATCCGTTACGTTTCGGCCGATTCGCAATTTATAGGCTGAGTTTTCGAGCCATGCTCTGTCTTTTTCTTTCTTGCTGCAATGAAGCAAGAAAGAAGATATAATCTCTATATCGTTGTCAAAGTATAAAAGCTGTGACTTAAATGTGTTTTTGTCCTTCTAATGTGATACGCTAGAGTCAAATGGTATTTAGAGATAAGAAGAGAAGGGACTCTTGACTTGCATAAAAATTGCACTATTATGTGAACAATAAATTCTGTCATCTTAGTTCCCATGTATTATAGATACATGTATGTTACCTTTGAGTATATGTTTGTCTTGGAGTATATTTCATGTTCATCTGATGTGCAGGCCTATCCCCAAGAGAAAGTTGGTGTATTTGTACGACGAGGAAAGGGTGGCCCACTTGATGTGGTTGAATACAGTGAGCTAGATCCTTCAGTGGCTAGTGCAGTCAATCAGGAAACTGGGCGTCTTCGCTTTTGTTGGAGTAATGTAAAGTACTTTTTCCTTATGTCTGTTTTCTTAGAATGTTAGCTTTATGAGCAATGCGTAATGAAATATATATTTCCTCATAGTTTTTATAGTCGCTACATTTCTTCTTTCACATTTTCCAAATCATATTTTCAATCACTAACATCTCTAAATATAACTAGTAAAAGTTATAAAAAAATTATTGAGGAAGTATAAATTGAGACGAATCCAACAAGACCCCACATTGCTATATATTTCATTAAGTACAAATTGTTAAAAGAAATCCGAAGTGGGTATGTGACTAGTGCAAAGGTCAAACCGTTGCAACTAAAAATAACAGAGGAAGTAGTAAATTATGCTTCCTATTAAATGTTTTGCTTGATTTTTTTTTGTTTTTTGTTTTTTGTTTTGTTTTTTTTTGTTTTTTTTTTTCACATATCAGGTTTGCATCTTAACTTCAATCATGTTGTTTAGCTTCATGCAATTCCTATAATAAACAAATTACAATTATGTGGTTTAGTTTCAGTTTTTTGATTTTTTTTTTGCATATATGCTTTTTATATGGCCGTATAATCCATGCAGCTAGCACCCTTAGTTTATATTTAAGGGGTAGTGGTGATGGACCTAGGCCTTTTCTTAGGCTGGTCTATTGAGCTCCTCCTTTGCCTGAAGACCCGTCATCCAAGTCGATCCAGTCGGATTTGGTTGGTTAGCCTAATTTTCTGGGTTTAAAGTGTTTTTAATACCAAATGTTTTGCTTGCTTTCAAGATTCTACTTATGTCGAAAGAATGGAGTTACATTGCTTTTAGTTCATCTGGTCGAGTCAAACTATTTCTATTAAAAGTTAAAAGTGCATATTTGTCAACATTTAAGGGCATTTTATGTATAATTTTGTAAAGTTAGTTTTAATTGGGTTCAGGTTGGGTTTTGGTCAGGTCATTTCTCACAAGGCAAGCTACATATCTCTTAGACTCTTAGTCCTGTCATTGGGACTTGGACTTGAAAAGGGCTACCAGACTCCTTATGCCTTTAGAATTTTAAGCGAATTACTGCTATAGTTTATGAAAGAATTAATTGTATCGTGTCCTGCAAGTTGTTCTTCAGGTGTGAGACGTAGGGTCTATTGACCAGAGTGTTTCGTGCTGCTATATTTAACTTTATGTATTACAAAACAATCTTAAAATTTCCTCTCCCTCTAATATATATGCCTTTAGAGTTAACCTTCCCTCATAAATTGTAATTAGTTGATGTTCTGAACTTCTGATAGGTTATCAAATAAGTTTCAGGTTTGCTTGCATATGTTCACCTTGGATTTTTTGAATTCCGTGGCCAATGGACTGGAGAATGATAGCATGTAAGTAATATATGACGTGTGTTATTTTTTCAAACATATGGTTAATTTTTTTTTGTTTATAATAGGATATCAAAAGTTTTTCTTTTCTGATATTTAATATTTTTCAAAATTCTACTCCTTGTATTATGCTCCATATTTTGGTGGGTTTGAGCGGGTTTGAGCAATTACAATTGATGGTTTTCTTGAAAAAAAGTACAATCCTTAATGAATCACCTTTGGATGGATTTTGTAGTTTACAGAAACAAATTTCAATAGGCCACATTGATATGAAGCCTAATATGCTTTTATAAGACAACTATCTACTGGATTAGCTTTATTGTGCTCACTAAGGTTATAAGTATACTGAATAAGCCTCAAGACTTGCTAAGATATGATATATAAACTTGTTCTGTACTTCATCCTAGGTCCTAACTCCCAAAGATCAATGTAAAACTTCTAAGCTTAAAGCTGCAAGTAGCCCCTAATCAAGTTTAACAATATAAACTAAGATGCTGACTAACAAAGCCATAACTCACAAAAACAAGACTTGTATGTGTAAAGAACATTGCCTTCAAAGTCTGATTTATGGTTGACTGTATGTGGGGGTTTTGGGGGGGGGGGGGTGTGAGTGATTTTTTTTAATTTTTTTTCAATATAGCTGTTGGAATTTTCATACCATGGTTGAGGTTTCCGCCTGAATTGTTGTCGTCATGATTTCGTTGCAGTTATCATTTGGCAGAGAAGAAAATACCATCAGTTAATGGATATACAATGGGACTAAAACTGGAACAGTTCATATTTGATGCCTTCACATATTCTCCTTCTACTGCACTGTTTGAGGTGATCCTTGTCTATCTTCTTCTTTTTTTTTTTTTTTTTTTTTTTTCCTGACAGACCTCTAGCTATGAATGAGAATATAACACCCTTTTATTCCATTCTCAGGTTTTACGAGAAGAAGAGTTTGCACCTGTAAAAAACGCAAATGGGGCAAATTATGACACACCTGATAGTGCGAGATTGCTTGTTCTCCGTCTTCATGCTCGATGGGTGATTGCTGCTGGTGGCTTTCTTACCCATTCGGTGCCTTTATATTCAACTGGTAATTGCTCCTCATTTTTCCTTAATAAATCAATTCATTCCTTAAGCTGGTGGAGCAGAAATTGCAAAAATACAAACGTTTGAAAAATATTTGAATTATCAATGTTGTTAAAAGTGGTTTGTTATTTTGTGCCTGGCTAAAGTTTGAAACACTAATTTAAAGGTAAAATCACTGCCTTAGCAAATTCAAATCAGAAAATGGCCTTTTGCCTTCATGATAAAATCGACCTTTAAGTTCAAACAACTGAACACCATATTTATTTTCTTCAACTACTAGAACACCTCTAGGAACTCCACATATCCTTCCCCTCTTGTGACGCATATACCTGGAATTGTAGGCTGATAGGTGGTCATGCACTCTAATTATTATATTATATACCTTCTAGATATTGAGTTAAAACACTAGAGTATGATGCAACTATTAATTTTCTTAGAGCAGCATGGTGTTGGCATTAAACGTAAGGTATCGTCATTGTTCACAACTGTAAACCTGGTAGTGGTTTTACCTTTTTCTATTTGCAAACTCTGTGGTTTTACATTGTTTTAACTCCTCTCTCCTCCCCCCCCCTCCCCCCCTTTCTCCCCAAAGCACACACACAGACAGACACAGAAGCTGTCGACTTTCCGAATTTTCTACAAGAATAATCTTCAAACCAATCCGTATTTGGGAAATTTTTTCCCTTGAGCGTTAATAAACTTATTTACTTTTTGATGATGGTATGTGCTCAGGTGTTGAAGTTTCTCCGTTGTGCTCTTATACGGGGGAAAACCTTGAAGCTATTTGCCGTGGAAGAACCTTCCATGCTCCTTGTGAAATCACATTTTGAATTTGATTTATGATTTGTATATCAGGCATGTCATTTTTTATGAAAAAAGATTAGAACAGATATAATCATACGAGTATGTATATACACTCAACTTTATGAGTCGAGAGTTTGAATCATTTTGGCAGTTATATTGTTCAATAAATAATGAGCTTTATTTATGCACAGCTTGATATGTGTTTTGAATTATTTGTTTGAGGAAGGCTGATTACTTGATTAGTGGTAGTGGCTCTCATCTTCGATGAAGTCTGGAGATTGGTCAACTCATTAGCCCAAATGTTGAGATGATTCTTAGCTAGAGCCCCTAGCATGGTTCGAAAATGCGGTTTCGAACACAGTTTCGGTCGCAATAACGGTAATGTGTCGTGGTAACGGAATTGATGCGGTTATCACGGATGTAGAGACTGAATTTTAGTTTTATAATTTTATATGTTTTATCAATTCTACATTTCTACAACTCCTAAATTTTAAAAATGAATTTTTAATCATTTTCCAATATTAAAAATTAGTATTATAATTATATTCAATTATTAATTCAATTCCTCTAAAATAAATTGTCTTCTAGTGTAAAAGAAAACTAATTGTTAAGTAATTGGAGTAGTCAAAAAGTCAAAAGCAAAAGTAATGGTAAATAAAAGAGGAAGTATGTACCACTACCTGGTATGGGATATGCCCAACCCATACCATAATAAAAAATTAATTTTTGCAATTTTTTTAAAGCTAAAAAGAAAAAAAATAAGTAAAAGTGACAGGAGGGGGTAAAAGGCTGAAACCCGCTAAATTGAATCCAACTCGCGCGAAAGGTATTACGAAGGCCGGAAAACCGCTTAAACTATATCCAAGAAAAACAGAGTAGATCTGGCTCCGCAACCTGTCAACTGTATGAAGAAGAGATCGTTCTTCTCAATTTTAGGGTTTATTTTTGTTAATTGAAACATTATGAGTGAATTGGTTGGGTTATAATTACTCCTTTTGAGTAGTATAAGTGGATTTTCGTATCAGTGGGTTTTGGTAGTGTTGTTTTCAATTTCTTCGTAGTTTTTTTGAAGTATCTATGTAATTTGTGTTGGAGCTATTGAGTATTGTAATGCCCGGTGCGAAGCATAGGTGGTGTTTGTGGCATATTCTTAACAAGATCGGCACCAAATTGGGAAAGTATTCGAAGTATGAAGAATTCCATGACGTTCTGCTTAATGTCATATATGACAATTTGACCGAAGAAGAATTTGAGGTTAATTGGACCCTAGCAATGGAGTCATATGGTCTTGCAAATGACGACTGGCTTACAGGTAAAACTGAAAATACATCTTATTTTAATGTGCAATAGTTATTGATAGGTATGGACAGCATTATAATCTCTTGAAATATTTCTGGATTGCTAGACTGAGAATTTAAAGCATGAATGTTGTTTTTTTTTTTTTTTTTGGGTGTTTATTCTATTGGATGAATTGTTACTCTAGATTAAAAGTGCAATCGACTACTCTACATTGTTAGAATTCCTAGATATGACTGTTAAGTTAATCTTCAGCCATCATAAGATGTCTCAGTCAGTCACTAACAATCTAAGAATTAGGACCTACTGCTGCTGCGGAATTCTAACAATCTGTTTTTTTTTTTTTGTTTTTTTTTTTATAGTGTTGTATGATGAAAGACATATGTGGATACCGGCTTATATGAAGCATTTGTTTTGGGCTACTAAGTCAACACATAAAATAATATTATCAGAAGCAATAATTCGATTTTACATAAGATTAGATTAGCAAAACAGGCCAAAGCTTGAAGGGGAAGCTTATAATAGGAATATAAGTTAAATGTAGCTTTATACAAAAATAGGCCCTCTAATTGGAAGGTGTTGTTGCCATTGTATAAAGTCCAGCACCGGAAACAAATGGAAGGACATCCCGTGCTACCCAGTTTGGACAATTATTATAAGACCTAGTGAAGTAGCAAAGTTCACCGTAGGCCGGACCATATCCAATACCTCCAACCCACCGATTTTGTGGACTTAACACCGGCCCATCATTACCAAAAACAGATTGCACTAATCGTACATCAGTGTTGGCCTTGGCCTTCCTAGCTCTTTTTTTCCTTGGCTTCGGAATTGGAGTCACAGGTTCATCAACATTCAAGCCATAACACTGAACCTTCATACAAAGACACAAAAAAAAAATATAGAAAATTTGTAAGCCACCAAAATACAAGACATATATTTAGCATATAAATAGTTAAGAGCAAGTAATATTACCGGAATGCCTGATGCAGTAGCTTGAGTTTGTTGCTGCACCGAAGTAGATGCTTTCTTCCCTTTCTTTTCTGTACAGGCTAGGAATCTTTTAGTCCTTGGCCTATGGGCCTTTTTCTTGCGTGAAAGAGGGTCCCCAACATGAGTAGGTAAGTCAGTAGACTTAGTTGCTAGTACAACATGTGGTAAATACAATCATTCCTTTAGCAACATCACACCTCAACGGAGCACCCCCTATTCAAGCCTTGTTGGGATATCTAACTTTGAAAGCTCGTAACCGGTCCTTGATGTTCTCCCATAAATTGGCCACGATTAGCCGTACCTATTTTGTAATGCAAGGTTTGGAGTTTCATCCCTATTTTCCATACTTAAGCCCTTTTAAGATAAATAATCCTATGAAATTCCTAAAAGAGGCTTATTTCTTAATGTACTACATGGTTGATTTGTACAAGATATGTTTTTCAATTAATTTAGGAGAGTTGCGTCGTTATATTTGGCGTTGCAACAACAACGACCCTAAGTTTCGCCACCTCTGTAATTTCTTCACTTTATTCATGGGACTTGACCAGTGGAATGCGGTTGTTGACTACCTCATCAGTACTCATGGAGTGTGTTGGGCGTTGTTGGTTTTTGGGAGAGAGTTTGCATCTGCTCATTTTACAGAAAATTATTTAGTAACAGTTGAGTGGCTCAAATTTGGTGAAAGTGATTTTGTAGAAGTTTTTGAGAACAATCAAGTGGAATACAACTCTTTCAAGGCCGCAATTTGTACGATCAACGGAGTAGACATTACCAATCATCCAGATTTGATGAATCGTCCACCGTATAGCAAAGATGGCTTTCCTTCCGCTTATGTCGATAACATGTCCAATGCTGTTCTAACCTATGCTGAGAAAGTAGACGACGGTTGGTGTCGCGGGTCTTCTGCCTCCGAGGTTGAAGGAGATTCCAGTGATGATGGTAAGGATTGGTGTCGTAGTTCTTCCACATCTGAGGTTGAGATCAGAGGTGATTACAGTGATGATGATGATGATGATTTCTGAGATTTGATGAGTCATCCATCTTAGCAAATATGGGTTTCCTTATTGTCTTTGTTTGGTATCCAATCTAGTAAAATTGTTAATTATAGCATTTTATGTTAAGATCTGCTAATTATGTCATTATTAATGTAATATTAATCTAATAGGTGAACTGCTATGTTGTTTTCCAAAGGACTTGAGGCTAGTTATGTTTATTTTATGTTTTAGTTAAGGACTTATTAATCTATGTAATTGTTTTTATTTGGTTCCTTATGAATTACTTGGTGGAGTTTTATTTAATTTTATTGCACTTAAAGGGGCTTCTCCATATGCAGAATATTTAATTGTGTGTTGTCAACTCAAACTGAACCTACAATGTAGCCTAAAGTACTTTAATTTATTTACAAAACCCAATGAAGCTGACTTTCACCACTTGCACAAGCTATTTCTGCACATATAATTGTATGTCTACTGTTCACAACTTATTTTTAGGTATGACCTTGAACTTGGTGTTCTGTTACATATTAATACATACTGTTATATTCACATAAAATACAGTTTACTTTTATTACATACTGTTATACATAAAATAATACTGTTTTGGTTGTTACGAAGTACAGGGGTAGTAGAAATAAAGAATTGGAACAAAAATACATGGATGCCATGTTAACAAAAAGTTAATTATCACTACAACCAATGAAATATGAGAATATGAGCTTCTAAATAATTTCCCTCCAAATGTTGGTCTATTACATATAATGTTTTCCCGCCAAGATTACCACTCTTTACCTGAATATATTACCATTCACTCTTCAAAATATTGAAAAACCTTTCATTTCTTATTTCAACATTAACCATGAATGAAATAATTGTTCCATGGGAAATGTTCCGGAATCACGCTTTGAAGTCGGTTCCCTCCACTTTCAAGTCACCAAATAGGAAGTCCAAATCAATTGGAATTCTTTTATATCCTACCTCTACCTCTCAAAATAGTCTTAAAGTAAGGTTCCTTCGAAAGAGGGAGTTGTTGAATTTCATTCTTATCCCATACAATATTGAATCATGTTCAAGTAGCCTAGTTGAAGTGCTATCAAATGGTCAAATTCGGCCATTTCATGTTCCAGACATGTCCGATCTCGCATTGTTTCCGAAACAAATTAAGGTGTACTTTGAGTGGTTACTTAATAATGCCACCATAGAGGACTTGTTTACTCGAATAGATAGTGTATTAGCACTTAACTTCCCCCGAATTAAGAACTTCGTGACAACATATGTCACCGGGTGTAGGTATGCCACCTCCTTTAAGAGCTTCTCGGACAGGATTGAGTTACTCTCCATGGGAAGGTTTTGTGGCAAACGCATGTCGATGATAATGAAGTCAGTGAACACAACATCTGATGGTAGAGATGGTCGAACATTTACATGTGACTTGGAAGTCAATTCTAATAGAAAAGAAACTTGTTGTGCTAAAATTAAAGTATATTCAAAATTCTTTCTGGAATTGCAAAGGAATGTCTGATAAATTCTTCCATTCCCGAGCTGCCAAAGTTATACCCACCTTACAACCAGATATCTTAGTCCTCACTGAAACACGTGTGTCAAACTTCATATTCAAATTGATACTACGAGATATGCAACACTACTCCTCAGCAACTGCTGAACCAGAAGGTGTTTGTGGAGGAATTGCAATTATAAACATTAGCAACAAATGCAATATGGTTGAAGTCAAACAAAGCCCTAATCAATGGCAAGGGAATTTAGTATTGCAAATTTGTTAATTTAGTTTGTATTAGTTATGAATGTATTCATGTGGCGAAAAAAAAATTGTTTACTGGGAATTTATTTTGTATTCATATGGCGAAAAAAAAATAGTTTACTTAATATTCCGTCTTGAAGTTGCAACAATACTACTTAAATTGAAATGAAAATTTTCTGAACAATTCATGGCTAGTCAGTGAAGCAATGACTTAAATATTAATTAGGAGTTAAGCTTTAGAAAGCTTAGGTTAATATGTTAAATATTAAAATGCTTGGGTTAATATGTTATGCTTTACAATGGAGAGGATTTTGGGCCAGCCATGGCATTTAATACAGAAAAGCCCATAAACCATCTAAAATAAAGCTAAACAACCATACTCCTACGCCCAATTCAGTCATAATATGTACAACAACAACTTGAGTTGGGTAACCATGTCACAAAAGACCCAAACCCAACCAAAAAACAGGCGTTAGTCCATACAGTTCTACCCCCCCAAAAAACAGGCCTTAGTCCATACAGTTCTGCCCCCCCCCCCCCAAAAAAACAGGCCTTAGTCCATACACTACTGCCCCCCATACTACTCAGATCGCACCATGTTTTGTCTGTGGTGAAAGAAGTGTGACAACATCAGATCGAACTTCGTTAAACTCGGACATCAAATCTTCCCACAGCAGCCAGGATCTCTGGAGGTTAATGTCATCGTCCTGCAAGAGAGTAAATAAAAAAAATTACATATTTAATCTAAAACAGGACTTTAATAAGGGCATGTATCAAAGTTGGGTAAAACAAACCAGCTTCACATCTGTAAGTAGCCTCTCCGCATTCCGCTTAATCGCGGCTAACATATGGACACCACAGTTGTGCCTAAAAATACAATGATAGATAGATTATAAATCGTCAAACAACACTAACTTTCCTCTTTCCCCAAAAAGATTAAATTAATCCTTACAGGTCCCCTTGCTGAGCCATTTGTAGGGAAGTTCTCCGCCAAGCGGTCACTATACCGACTTCCCATTTTGGGTCCAAGGATTGAAAAACCAAATCCATTGCATATGCCTGGAATTCAGAAAGAAATACACAATTAACATAGTGAAATGCGATTAAGCAATAATCTAAACGCATTGATTAAGGGAAGGGAAAATATTCCCAACCAACTTAATATGGTGACAACTATTCTCATACGAAAGTACGAATATGAGTGGGATATTTATTATAATTATTCTACAAATCCAAAAGGAGGCAATAAGCAACCAGAAAAGAAAAACTAGCGACAATAGAAAAGCACACCAACAACAATAAATTAAACACATCTCAAGTTTTAATCGGAAATCTAAACAACAATAAAGTAAACGCATTCCTATTGAAACGGGGCAGTAGGTAGCCTGAGAGCAAAAGCCTTGGTTATAAGTAATATTAAAAGGCAGAGAAAGACCTAACAATAAATTCCCCAACTAAGATGAATGTCAAGGAGCACAAGGGTTTCTTCTAATACCATTACCAACTAAGATGAATGTAAAGGACCACAATCCTAAACTTGATCAGTATAAATTATCATCTAAATAACTAGAAAATTAACAAAGTGAAATGGGATTCAACATTTATTAAATAGATGTTATATATTTACAATTAGGATATGTACCAAATGATCAACATTGGCAGAGTGGACCTCCGACGCGGAAGAGGTCTGAATGGAATCAATAACCAAAATTTCTTCTCGATTCACTGAAAAAGCCACGCACCACCAGTGACCTTCAAAAAGAACTGGGACAAATACCTGTAGCATGGCAAATAAATAGCATATTGTAAGGCAAAAGCATTATCAAGCAAAACAAAACAATACGTTCTAGTGCTCTATGATACTTACAACATTTATCCTCTTTGGATGAACACCATCCATCTGTGGTGTAAACACACGTGTATTAATTACCATCTCCCTTCTTTGGAAAACGCGCATCTACAAATATCATTAGAACATCATTACACCTTGTTGCTCGGAAAAAATTATAATACGCAATAAACCAAAAACTAACCGCAAACATAGGATCCAACATGAAACGCTTGCTGCGATCAGCATAACGAGCAGCCCAAACTTTTTCATACAACTTGCTTGCAGCACTCACATACTACATAAAAAGACATTGGACATTTACCCTGATTAATTGACAACATAGAAAGTAACTACTGCCCTATATAATTAATAAATCCAAGGTAAGAAATTTCAACCGCATCAAAGACTTGGCCCCTTTCTGCAGCAATTCCAGCACACATATGAAGCGTCACTTGTATCCTATCAACACTTAGCAATACAAGATTGTCCCTAAAGCTGTAATTATAATTTTTTTAAGAAGAAACGTAAGTCATACTTAAATGAAGCACTGTATGAATAGAATAAATATTGCATGTAATACCTTTGTGACTGCAATCTGCGCGAGACATTGGAATGAGATCTTATGTAGTCATATAATGGAACCCGTAATCTACGGAACTTCCTTGGCCGCCAAGTGTTCACATAACCTTCAGGAAGCAAAGGTGAGTCTGAATTTTTCCTTTTTCGCCGAGTTCGTTGTGGGCTAAACCCTCTCTCTCTGCCATCCTCTTATGAACTATATCCAATTTCAAGTTTAATTTTTTCAGGGCTTTGTAAAGGTTTTGGAACACTACATAACAGCAGGTCCAAATCTCCCACCCTCTGCTGCTCGTAAGCCACCACCTCTTGCCTCTCCCTCTCAAACTCCATGCCCAACTCAAATTCCAACTCCGTTCCATACATCCTATCACTCTCGCACTTCTTTAACAATTGTATCTCCAATTCAAACTCATAGGCCAACTCCAACATCAAGACCATTCCCAACTCCATCTCCCTTTCAACTTCTATTACCAAGTCAACAGCGAACTGAAACTCCAACCCCAACTCCAACTCGACTAGCAAATATAATTCCCTTTCTCTCTCCCTTTTATGACTATCGGTGTCATTTTGACTTTCTGTATCTCTGTCCAAGTCCAAGTCAAAGTCTAACTCATATGCTGTAGGAGATTGCAAGTTCCTATGCTCATTATCATCCATTACATCACCCGACATTAATGGAGAATCTACAGCATAGTCATGAACATTTAAGTCGGGTTGCACATGTGCATCACCAGAACCTGATGCCAAATCCTTTTTCTTAAAGTATCCGTACCGACGCTTTTTTACACACCTAATGTTAATCAGTTCATCTACTACATTTACACACTCCTGTTGACTATGCACAACATTGAACATCGATCAGCATTGAACATCGATTGATACACCTGCATTACGAATACCTTAAGTTAAGATGTAAGATGTTGGTTTAGATTCATTGCTCAAAACATAAATAAAAGTACGAATACCTCCTCCATGACCACAGCTGGTCTTTTCAAGGGCATCACATCTTCCGTATTCATTTCATGGGCACTACCATACGCTGCTTTTACAGCCTGGAAAACAAAGCGTATGGATTTGTGTCAGCAATATTATGACCATGTATAAATATAAAGACTATCATCAGAAATAGGGCTTGTGTATCTTCTGGTTTTTTTGCATTAAAATATAATCACTTACACCAAGTTTGCCAAAATCACCATTCACATGCCGATCCCCCTTCTTTGCCTTTGATATCTGTTGTGTGGTCCACACTGCCATCCTAGGGAAGACACCCCATTGAATAGGTGTTCTTTTCAATCGATCTAGGTAAAAGATCTACAATATAAAATTCATTTAAAATAAAAGACAACCCAAATTTTTTTTTTTAAAAAATATATAATGATTGATTGTTAAGGAAATATACCGCAAGAAATATTGTACACCCTCCACAACTTTTGGAAAAACCCATTGGGTAGAACCTCCTGGCAAAGCTTCCTATAGCATGCATAAGCTGGTCGATTACTAAGGAGCACCAGTCATAGGACTTTGCATCCTCAGCTACAAACGCTGCAGGTTAAAACTGGGGGCATAACCTATGGCTTGTTGTAGGACACAGTATATCAACTATAGCAAGGAGCAAAAAGGCAATCTTGAAATCTGAAGGATCCTCCAATGGACCTTCAACTTCTTCAACAAGGCTTTGCCTAGGAATTCCTTCCACCAAACTGGGTGTAGTTCTGCTAAACCAACTACGTACACGGTCCAGCATAGAACTCATTTCTTCGGTGGCTTTCTTGGGTACCGACTTCTTTCCCATCGGAATACCAAGCACCCAATGAACTTGAATGAGGCTAAACCCAAACTCTTTGCCATCAATGGTAACAATAGACCTAGAGTTCACATCCACCCTTGTCGCAAGCCAATAACATAATTTCCGTGGGAGCTACCTGTCAACAAGGGCATACAGTCCAGCAAAACCCATTTCCTTCACTAACTTCTGTTTATCTTCATCAAATTTGCTTATTGTTGCACCAAAACTCTCAACACGGCAATTCACATTTACAGGCTGCGCACACAAGTTAACCTGTAACAAAACCTAATAACAGGTATATATTTAAACTTAAGACAATCGAAGTAAAAATAAAATATTTAATGACTCCCAATACCCTTTTCAATTCCTTAGAGCATCTTTCAATTACTTTGCCGAGTTCTTTCATCTTCCCACCCTCGCTAAGAGAATTGTCCTACAAAAACAAAACGGTTTATTTTAACTGAACCGGAAAATAGGGCTCTCTAATTTCAATACAATCCATAGAGGGAGATAACAACATATACAACCTACAGCGACTGACAATGAAAAACTCACCCTAAACACATCCGCACTCACTTTACGTTTGCGACACCCGTCACTTGCATCATTACCCACTGATGAATCAATCACATCCTTAATACAACAAATTATAAACAAGTTCAGTCATCTGAATAGAACAGAACATAACAACAATGAGAAGATATACACAAAGGAACCACAGAGACATGAGAAGATATACACAAAGAGATAAGAACTTGACAAAGCTAGGCAATGGATAAGAAACCAAAACCCAAAGAGTTAGATAAGCACTTGTCAAAACTACTAGATCAAAGAGTCATAAACCAAAGAGTGCAGCTAACTAAACTGACTATCCGGGTTATCTAAAGCCTCAAAATACTCCCCATCATCAATTGTAAGCATATTGCCTCAAACTATTATATAAGATTCATCTAAGTTATGTAAGCTTTCTAAAATACTGAAACTAATCTTGTACCCCGAATAAACAAAATTTGTGAAATAGGGGAAGTATTAGTAAGATCTAGTACGCAGCCAAAAGCAAAAAAGAAACAAACTTTTATAATTATGAGTAGGAAATAATGTTCACTATAAGTGACAAGATTTATGACCAATGTGATTTAGATGAGAAAAAAGGGAGCAAAGATATTTTCAATTTTCCGTTCATGAAAATAACTAGTGTCTTGTAACACTCTTGTTTTAATGATTCAGCTGTTACTCGTGGAAAACAAAGGCTTACCAAATAGTATGGTGGCAAAGATATTTCCATAACCAACTCAACAAATATGAAAAAGACGTGCCCATGACATAAATAATTATTTAAAGGACATAATCTGGAAAATCTAAAACTTATAGATGCTAATTGTGCCTGCTTTAGTTTAGTGATTTTTCAATTTTCTAACCATATTCATATTCTTCGGTATGTATAAATGTAACATGGAGTATTTTAGTTGAATGTGAAAAGTACGACACTTAAATTTGCTTTGGAGTTTATTTATGAGTAATCAAAATAATCAACCAAGCTATTATATGTAAGCTATTATATCTAAGATATGTAAGCTTTCTAAAACAAAATAATCAACTAAGCTATTACATAAGTTCTAACTATACCCCAAAATTCCTATAGTTCAAATCAAAGCTTATAATCTCTGATCCAAGACAATTCAAAATTAATTCACACTTGTAATTGCATAAAAAGTACCCACTATCTAAGATGACATTTTGATTGCATAAAAAGTACACTACAAATTAAGGACTCGAAAACCAATACACCCCCACCCCTAACTACAAATTAAAAATACAATATATACATCAAAGAACAAGCCAACATAAAAAATAATTGTGAATATTGCCTGTAGAAGTTTTAAGAGGTTTTCATATGACACAAAGGAATCTCCTAATTCCAACATGTCAACACCAATAGAGGCACCAACCTCATCAATTCACCATCAAAGATACCTACCCCAACCTTAAATCTTCCCAACCATTTGCTAAAACAAAGATGAAGAATTCATCTTATAATGAAATAATAGAAAAATCAAAGAGCCAAACACCACCCAGCTTGAGATATTTGGCACAAGCAACTAATGTTCAGAAACTTCAAAACACATCCAGAGGAATGTCCTAACAAGGCCTATTGCAATAGGAGAAGGGAAAAATGCAGTAAAAACTATATTACTCAATGTACAACCTTCCATCACGAGTCAGATTATAAGGGTTTAAAATTCTGAATTATATCTGCCTGGTTAATAATTCGAAGAGAAAAACTACCATCTCATCTTAACAGCCACAAACAGAGCCTCCATAAAGTCCATACTTTTGTCAAAAACGTTTGGCAGATAAAGAAACGCAACACATCACATAATCTCACACAACACATCACATAAGATATACATCAAAGATATACACCCAATTCTCCAAAAAAACAGTAAGTACCTCTCCTAAATCGCCACGGCGAGCACCTCCGCTTCGAGCACCTCCGCTTCGAGCACCTCCTCTGCCACCACCTCCTCTACGACCACCGCCTACAAACCGCAATTCGCAATTATCAAAGAAACCAAAAAAGAAAACCCCCAATCGTAACTGAAAACAAACATAATTACACTATAATTTCAAAATTAGGTCATAAAATTACCTAACATATTAAATTCAACAAGCTTCTTCCACAATAAGCTTAAGAGGGAGGCGAATTTTGGTCAAAATTAGGTCATAAAATTACCTGACATGAAGGAGGACAGAGAGAGATGAAAAAGGAAAGAGGTAATAGGAAAGAGGAAAGGGGTTTTCCGATTCAACTGAGTGGTTTTTTGGAGAGAGAATAAAGTTTTTACAGCTTGGTAACTTCTTTAGTAAATTCCCGGAAATTACAATTTTGCCCTTGGTATGGGCCCAAGGAGCCCATACTTGGTAGTGGTCTATCACTACTCGTAAATAAAATGATAGTTGTCCAATACCCACTTTCCAAACCTCACTTGTTTGACAACAAACGGATCACACCCAGTCAAATATCAGAGCACCCCACTCTCTCTCCTCTTCCTGCCCTTCTCTTTCTCTTTCCTTTTCTCACTGTTTTTCAATGGAGTCGAAGAAAAATTCACCAAATTATGCGATTTCTTGGGTAATTCATAGTTATAACGGTGTATTGACCGATTCGGTCCAAAATGCGTTGCATTTTTATAACCCGCATCAAATCGCTAAATATCGGTTCGGTAAAATGGAAAACCAATACAACTCGCCCGATACGTTATGATACGGTCGCATTTTTGAACCCTGACCCCTAGAGAAACCAATCTCCGTGTCAAATTAGAGAAGATGAATAGAGTGAATGATTTTCTTTGTATTTTATTACGTTATACACAATGTATTTATACAACCTAAGAGTGGAGATTAGGGCTTAAATATAGGTCTGTATGCTATACATAATATTAGGCTTAGGCTTAACACCCCCCTCAAGTTGGCATGTGCCCAACTTGCCAAGTAAATACAAGAGTTGGTGTTTGCTCAACGCCTTAGTGAAAATATCCACTAGTTGATCTGTTGTCTTCACATACGATGGACTAATAACCCCGTCCTGAATAGCATCTCTAACATAATGACAATCAACCTCAATGTACTTAGTACGTTCGTGAAACACCGGATTCTGCGCAATGTATATCGCTGACTGACTATCACAAAACATGCTCATCGCTCGTGGGTGTGAAACTCCCAAAATTTGAAGAAGAGCCTTCAACCATTTTAACTCATCACTGGCCTTAAACGTTGAACGGTACTCTATCTCAGCACAAGATTTATAAACAGTATCTTGCTTCTTAGTCTTCCAAAAAATAGGAGAACCACCAAGAAACACCAACCAACCAGTAATCGAACGTCTTGTCAAAGGAAAACTAGCCCAATCCGAGTCACACCAACCTGTCAAATGTAAATTTGAATTCAATAGAATCCCTTGACCCGGACAACCCTTCAAGTAACGAACCGTACGAAGGGCTGCCTCCCAATTATCTTGACGAGGTTGTTGCATAAATTGGGATATAATATGAACTGTGTACGCCGGATCAGGTCTAGTGAAAGACAAATAAATTAAACTACTCACAAGCCACCGATACACTTCAGGGTCTGCAATAAGAGAAGTTTTTGAGCTAGCGAGAGTAGATTTTTCTCAATAGGAGTACCTGCCGGACGTGCCCCTAGAAAACCAGACTTTGCAATAATATCAAGAGTATACTTTCGTTGACATAAAAATATGTCCTCCGGACTCCAAGCAACCTCAATACCAAGAAAGTACTTCAACACACCTAAATCTTTCATATGAAAACTGTTACTCAAATATGATTTGAATGATGAAATTGCAGAGGAATCATTCCCAAAAATTATATATTAAATCATCAACATACACTAGAACACTAAAATAAACAGCTCCATGATTTAGAGTAAATAGTGAGTAATCAGAGTACGATTGTAGAAATCCGTACCTTTTTAGAGAATTGGCTAATTTAGAGAACCAGCAATGAGGGGCTTGTCGTAGGCCATATAGAGACTTCCGGAGTCAACATACCAATCCAGATTGAGAACCATGGAAGCCAGGAGAAGGTTTCATGTAAACTTCCTCATCAAGGTCTCCATGAAGAAATGCATTGTGAACATCCATTTGATGCAGTTCCCAGATTTTCGCTGCAGCAACAACTAAGAAAGCACGAACGGTGACCATTTTAGCAACGGGAGAAAATGTTTCATTATAGTCAATACCCTCAACCTGATGATTTCCAAATATAACAAGGTAATCCTTTAATCTTTCAACTGTGCCATCAGAATTATGCTTCACCTTGTATACCCATCTACACCCGAGAGCTTTCTTCCCTAGAGGTAATTCTTCCATTACCCAAGTCGCATCATCTTCCAAGGCCGAGATTTCTTTTTGTATAGCCTCCTTCCAACCCTCGTGTTGCATAGCCTCTTTGAAATTACGAGCCTCAACCACTGTATCTATAGTTGCAATAAATACACAATGTTGCAAAGAAAATTTATCATAATTCACAAAGTGTGCTAAAGGATGGGGAGTAATTGAGGAGCTTGGAGGAGACGATAGACATGGAGAGATAGATGAACTCGGAAGAGATATAGTATGTGCAACATAGTCACGATGCCAACCTGGAAGATGTCGTTCCCATTGTCCACGACCCAAATCAATAGAAGTAGAAGAAGAGGTATTCAGACCAGCAACGGGGCTGATGTCCGAGGCTGAACCAGTACCAGCAACACTAGCAGAACCAGCAACAGTGTTCGTAGTAGCTGATGTGCTGGCAGAAGCGGCAGGGTCAAGGGCAGTAGTAGCAGAAGAGGCAGAAGCAACAGTAACAGAAAAGGCAGAGGCAGCATCAGCAGAAGCAGTAGCAGCCGCAGCGGAGTTGCGGTGGGGGTTGTGAGCCGCAACAGGGCTGCGGTGTGGGCTGTCCGAGGCCTCGGTGTCAAGGGAAGCCTCACCAATTGCCAAAATATGCTCAAGGTCGTCTTAGAAATCAACATCAACCCCATTGGTAACATTAGACACGGTGGTACCATCAATGCTTGTATCATTAGAGGTGTAACTAGTACCAAACAGAAATTCGTTCTCATGAAATTTGACATCCCTTGACACAAAAACTTCACCCGAGTCTAGATCATATGGCTTTCAACGAACCCTTTTTGCCATGAGGATAACCCACAAACATACACTTTCGGCTTTGAGGTGCAAATTTATCACCCTTAGCCCTTTGATTATGAGAAAAACAAAGACAACCAAAGACTCAGCTCGCATTTTATAAAAAAAAAAAGGTTCTTTGCAAAACAAGACATCATATTGTGTTTTATTGTCTAGTACACGAGAGGGAGTACATATATATGTGTATGTGTGTGCGCGCGCGCGCATATAATTTTTACTATATATGCATTTTTTTATGTTGAATTTGCATAAGTGTATTTCAAATTGCTAATTTTTTTTTTCTTTGTGTGTGTGTGTGTGTGTGTGTGAGTGAGTGTGTGTGTGTGTGTGTGTGTGTGTGTGAGTGAGTGTGTGTTTGTGTGAGTGTATTTGGTAGGGAATTCACCTTGTGACTTTGAGGTCACAAGTTCGAGCCATACCAACTACTAAATGCTTGTGAGTGGCAACATTTAGAAACATTTTTGAATTGTCTCCTTAGATGACAACATTTTTCATTTGGTGTCTTTGTAAAAGTGTTGCCTTATGTATCATTTTACCTTGGCTTTCAAAATTGTTGTTTTTGAATAAAAATGTGTTTCCTTATGAATAGACAACGGGGGCATATATTACGCCTCATATGTGTAGCCTTAGCTACAAGTCAACACTTTTTTTTATATTAGACAATGGTTTTGCACTGTTACCTTTGCTTTATTTTGTTGTAGTGATAGTCAAAAAATAGTGGGCACCACATGTAGACAAAGTCTTATATGACCCCCACAAATCACAATGAATCAGTTCAAAAATGCGACTAGCATGACTATCACTTATAGGAAAGCTATCACGAGTTTGTTTAGCTTGAGGACAAATTTCACATGTCTTATATATTGACTCTGAGAACTACCTCGAATAGCATGAAGTAACTTGACAATTCTTTCTGACGGATACCCCAAACAACGATGCCACAACTCAAATGTAGAGACCTCTGGACCCGTGACCGCACATACTTTTGGAAGACACCGAAAATTGTACAGTCCATCTATTCGTTCACCTCCTCCAATCAGGCTCCCCGAACTTTGATCTTGTATAGTATATAAAGAATTGGTGAATCGTACATAACAATGAGTGTCATCAATCAATTTAGACACCGAAATCAAATTGCAATTTAATTTAGGAACAAATAGGACATATTCTAGAATAATTCCATCCCCCAAGAAAACATGACCCTCTTTTGTTGCAATTGCTTGAGCACCATCGGGAAGACCAATGGGGCATAGTAAAATTGATTGAGTATCAAGTAGAGAAGACTCGTCACCCGTCACATGATGAGAGGCACATGTGTCAATAATCCAAGATAAAGAGAAATAATCACCAAACCAGTTGTTTGACAAACAATCGATACTGAGTGTAGAGTAGGCTGCTGCCATCGCATGAGCAAGGACAACAACATCAGGTTGATTAAAGGAGGGCAGAGAGTTGTGGGAGCAGAGCAGGGAGGTTAGAGGGGGCTGATTAACAGCAGCAGTAGTGGCGTGAGGAAGAGAGCAGGGCTTATTAGCAGTGGCGTGAAGAAGATAAGTGGTTGTAGAGGTAGGAGATAGAGGGGCAGCAGTTGGAGATTGTCCGTGGTTGTCGTACTTAACAACCACCAATAATGGTAGTCGTGGACCAAGAAGCAAGCATCATAGTCATGACCCGATCGTTTGCAATGGGTACAATATAAATTTGATTTATCACGTCGTGGCGATATAGAAGTAGTATATGTCAAAGAATCAAGTGAATTTAATTCACCCACCATTGTTGATTAAGCAAGAAATATAATAAAGGAGATTAGATAAATTGGAGAAAAAAAATAATAAGAGTTTTTAGGGTTTAGAGTGATTTTGGCTCCGATACCATGTCAAATTAGAGAAGATGAATAGAGTGAATGATTTTTTGTGTATTGTATTATGTTATGCACAATGTATTTATAAAACCTAAGAGTAGAGATTAGGGCTTAGACATAAGCCCGTATGCTATACATGATATTAGGTTTAACACTTCATTTTGACTTTTTGCACTGTTCACATACTTTTCTATATTAATGTTGATGGACGATACTTAAGATATAACATTTTCATATGGATACTTGTTAGGAAGATACTACACACTTCCTATAATACCTTTTATCCCTGTAAAAAGGGTAAATAGATACCCAACTTTTTTTAAAAGTACCCAAGTTTAATTTGACTCGACACTTTTGCCAATACAAAATTTTAAACAATAGTATTTTTAATTATCAATAACTATGAGTTATAAAAAGTAGATAGTTAGAAATTATACATTGAGATGATTCTAACAAGTATCTATATGACAATATTATATCTTAAGTATAAATC